TTAGAGAGGGCTGAAAGCCCTATGAAGCGGTATATAAGTCTAACTGCTATTGCTATTGCTATCTCAGATAGGGTCTGACATCTAGGCTTCAACACCTAAACAGAACAAACCAAGTTGGAAGGGACCTTTGAGGTCTTCTAATCCAGCGGTCACCAACTGGTGGTCCATGGACCACTGGTGGTCCATGAGAAAATTTTGGTGGTCTGCAGAAAAAATATTTGCATTTTTTAATATTGCACTAAATCAGGGTGCTCAAACTATGCCCCTGGGATGGATACATGCAATGAATGTTTGTGTTGCTGCAGAGAGTCTCCCCCTTTGGGGTCTTTTTGTGCGGGTCAGAGGGGGGAAGAAATTCTGACTTGGGGTCTGCTTCTTGGCCTCTTGGTGAGGGGTTTTGGGTGAAGGCTGGAGGGAAGCACCACTGGTGGTGAAGAGCTGGAGGGCCTCGTTCCAGTGGGACTGCATCATGACCTGGAACTGGCTGACCATCTCAGCCCGCTGAGCCTCCAGGTGCACTCCCGCAGGTCTTCCCTCTGCTTGGAAAGCCCATGCTCCTAGTCCTCAGTGAGGTGCTTCTGCTGAGCCTCCTTCTCGGTCTGATCCAATTTGAACTGAGTTTTTTTGCCAACTCTTTCTCGCGGTGGCTGCTTAGCTCCAGCAACTGCTTCCTGGTGGGGCCCTAAGGAGCCCAGGCGGGCAGGCGAGGAGTGGCTGGGAGGGGAGGGGCAAGTAGAGGCCGGTGAGGCGCCCCTCAACATGAGTGACATCAAGTTGGCCATACACACCCAGTCACATGACCACCTAGCCACACCCACCCAGCTGCTCATTAGGCAGATCATATTACTGGTCCGTGGGATTTAAAATTACGAATTTAGTGGTTCTTGAGGTCTGAAAGGTTGTTCCAATCCATCCCTTTTTCATTGATTCAGTTCTTTCCTCAACCTGGGCAATCCATCCATCCATCCATCCATCCATCCATCCATCCATGTCTACCTCACCTTTTCTTCAGGCGCTCACAACCTTCCTTGCCACAGTTGTTCAATCAATCACTGCAGTTGTTCAGTTAATAACGCAGTTGTTAAGTCAATCTGGCTTCCTGTTTAATTTGCTTCTCAGAAGGTGAGAAGGAGAATAGCTGGGCAAGTCATTCATTCATTCATTCATTCATTCATTCATTCATTCATTCATTCATTCATTCACTCACTCACTCACTCACTCACTCACATATCCATGCATCCATCCATCCATCCATGCATGAATCCATCCATGCATGAATCCATCCATGCATGAATCCATGCATGAATCCATCCATCCATCCATCCATCCGTGTCTAACTCAGCTTTCTTCAGGAGCTCACGGTGATTTACAAACCCCCATACTCGTCTCTTATCGGTATAGAATCGGTTGCTTGAGATCCCAAGACTGTCCCAGAATGGGCCGACCCCTGGCCCTGAAGCCAGTTCTCCGCAATCCTGGTCCACTAACAGATCACCTTGCCACCTGGAGTAGGTAACTGAGAAGTAGCTGGACCCTGTGAGCTGCTACCTCTCCACTGGTAAGAAAGTGGGATCATGCAAACGAAACAAATAAAATAAATCAATGTCGGAAAAAGGCGATGGCAGAAGGATAGAAAAAAAAGAACAAACCCCATACATTTTGCTTTCAAGCCCAAAATTATCCCTTCACGCCTCCCAGCGAGCTGCTTCTGTCTTATTTCTACCAAGAGAGAAATCACGCCAAGTCCAACATTTCTTTGACCCTGCCGGTGGATGGCTGTGAGATCTCTTCCTTTTGCAAGGAGGTCTGGGCCTTCCAGAAGCATCCTTTTTGCTCGGAAAGCTTGAATTCTACCGCCATCGTGTGGGTGGGCCAAGATTTCGCGGGCATTCTCTTCCCAACGTTGGTCTCTTGGCTAAGCGTTTCGTCGCTGGCAGATTTCATCGGGCGAAATTTGGGGGAACTACCTAAAAACTCTTCACGCTTATTTACGTTGGCTTTTCGAGTCAACAGCTGCGCTGGGCCTGCTGGAAGGAAATCAACGAGACAATTCAAATGGTTACGGGAGTGTGTCAGTGTTAAGGCTAGGCCAGTGTGTGGGGGAAGGGGAGGGGGTCTGTGTGTGTCTCTGTGTGTGTGTGTGTGAAGGAGAAACAGCTTGCCTATGGGAAAGAGGGATCCAAACTTCGTTCTTGGGGAAGTTCCCAGTCTCTTAAAAAATGTCTCAAATTGTTGGTAATCCCTCCGTAATGAAATCCGTCATGGCAGCGTGGCTATTTCCGCTGGCATTATAGCCGGATGGAGTGGAATTTCCCCCTCGCCAATGGGCCAAGCGGATCCAGATGGAAACGTTTCTCTGTCAGCCTCGGTTAAATTTTTTTTTATCATGCAGGCGGTCCTCGGCTTACGGCGGTTCACTTGGCGACCGCCCAAAGTTACAACAACACTGGAAAAAAAAAAGAGGGACTTCTGACCATTTCTCACCCGTACGGCCGTTGCGGACAACGGACTCACAGTTATGACGGGATCCTGTCTGCGATCCCCTTCTGGCGAGCCAAGTCAACCGGGGAAGCCAGATTGGCTTAAGGACTGTGTTACTAACATAACGACTGTGCAGGTTCGCTTAACAACCGTGTCCAGAAAGGCAGTAAAATGGGGCCAAACTCACTCAGCAGCTGTCTCACTTAGCAACGGAAGATTTTGGGTTGCGATTGTGGTCACAAGTCCAGCATTCTCTGTAATCATTGCATGGTTAGCTAAACAGAGAAAATACAGGGGGCGCCCAAGTTGTCCTCTGCTGCCCCCTGTCTTCCAAATGTGGGACTTCCAAAAATCGAACAACCTCTAACCTAAAATTCCTTAGTAATGGTAAAAGTTTCCCTCGCGCATATGTGCCAGTCATTCCTGACTCCAGGGGGCGGTGCTCATCTCCGTTTCAAAGCCCAAGAGCCAGTGCTGTCCAAAGATGCCTCCGTGGTCATGTGGCCGGCATGACTAAATGCCGAAGGCGCACGGAACGCTGTTCCCTTCCCACCAAAAGAGGTTCCTATTTTTCTACTTGCATTTTTTACGTGCTTTCGAACTGATAGGATGGCAGAAGCTGGGACAAGTCACAGGAACTCACTCCGTTACGCGGCGCTAGGGATTCGAACCGTCAAACTGCCGACCTTTCTGATCGACGAGCTCAGCGTCTTAGCCACTGAGCCACCGTGTCCCTATCTAAAAATTCCTTAGTAGGACAGCGAATTGAAT